CAGGCCGACATTGCTCAAAAGGTCGGATGTTGCGGGCGAAGGAAGAGCACCTACTACCCTAAACGTCCAGACTCTGAGGCCCCCCGATCAAGTGGATTCTTTTGCAGAGGAGCACGTCGTTGAAATTCTGTTTCGCAGATAGCCACAGCTGTTATGCATCGCTCATATCAGTTGGTGTATATTTACTCACTCCACAGGGAGGCTCCTCCTCGATGGCGTCTTCCCAGCTGAGTGGAGGCTCCTCCAAGTACTTGGAGGCGGGTGGACGTTTTTTTGTGTATGTTTGTCTCTGTCTCTGCAAGGCACTGGACTCTATGTGGGAAGGTGGTAGGATTATTTAGGTTTGCACACTAGAATCCTCGAGGGTTCAGCACAAAGTCTTGTGGTTTGGTAGTGTCACACACGACAGTGATTGAAAAAAATGATAGTGATAATGACGATACTCTTGTATGGTTTCACCAAAAAATACACTAGAGCGGTACCATAGGGTATTAAGAGACTTGTGCTCCAAGTTGGCGGGCCTGTTCTTTTCTTTCTCATCCCATGTTGGGGCCGAAACAATAGTTTTGGACCAAACAACATCAAGAGGAGTTGAACGACGTCCCGCCCCAAAGCCGCGGAGGTCGAGGAGCAGCACTGGCCTGATGTGGAGATGAAGCTGAAGAGGTGTCATCTTCTCTCGAAGGAGGCTCCTTGCACAGGTGGAGGTCAAATTAGCCACGTGCAGGTGCTGACGACGCAATGATGCTTTATTTGATGATGACACTGCGGGAAGAATCTCACAGCAGCATTACACCCGAGGTCTGTGTTCTTCGTTCAATTCACCAGAGATCCAGACACCTCTGGCCTAGTAGATGTTACATTTCTCCTTGTGGGGAGAAAGCCTAAAGCTGTCAGGGCTTCATCTACAAAAAGAACCCGAAAAGGACAGCGCAAAGGACAGCGCTCTCTCCCACCAAGGCTTGAGGAAAGCAGCCGGAGCACCAGAGAACTGCTCTATTCAGAGTTCAGAGAACATCCTTAGAAAGACCATTAAATAAGAAGATCACAGAAAAACTATGCGTAGAAGCATCACGGAGCCTCTGGCCACTGGTCACTGTTCGAACCTGCTGCTGTTCTTTTGCTTTTGCAATCTTTTTGCTTAAAGAATCTCTCCTCCAATCCACCAAAAAATGTCGACTTCTCGCTCTTGACTTGGGCCGTCCTGCCGCGGAACTGGGGACTCCTCCCACATCGGCTCTGCGATCGGCTCCTGCGGTCAGCGCTGGTCGTCTTCCGTGGTGTCTTTGTGTCTATAGTGTTCTTGTCTGGCCACACCATCTATCCTTGATCTAGTTGAGACCACAACGTTCATCCACAGAACGAAAAAGCGGTGCCTGACACCTGCAGTGTCCATGCAACCTGACACTTGGGCACTCAATCGCGGTCCTTGGGAGGCCCATCTGTTGAAGGCGCCTCTTCGAGAAGAGGCTCCTCAGGCTTCTGTGGCTCCTGACGCTCCTGGCAGAGTCGAAACTCCAGGTGAGATGAGGAGGAAGGGAGGAAGAAACGAAGAAACGAAGAAAGCAAGAAAGAAAGAAAGGAAGAAAGAAAGAAGCTCATCATTTTTGAACTCAATCAGCCCATTCTCGGAGAGCCAAGGTGACAAAACGGGATCCGAGGGTATACCATCTGGTCCTGGTCCTAGAAGCCTGCTGTCCTTGGATTTTCTCCAGGTTGACTGGGGAGGACTATAGAGTTCACCTGACTGGAGGATGGATTCTGAGAGGTCGAGAAAAAGAATTCCCCCCCCAAATCCTTCATTGACGAAGACTATCTTGCTTTGGGACATGAAAGAAGAAAGTCCCAACCTCGAAATCGTCTAACTGAACAGAATCTACAGTAGAGCAAATCCTATAACCTGAGCCCCTTGGAGAAACAATGCCATGTTCCCATCACTGCTTTATCAACAGCTCTCCTCGATCACCGCTGCTTCCAAGCTTAAAGGAGGCTCCTTTGGTCAACGTCCAAGCCAATCTGAGACTGCGACTCAAGGGGTTTAGATGGCACCATGTGGGACGATGTTGTCTTGATCTTCCGCGAACAAGTCTGTTCAAGCAGGAAAAGGGCCAACCCCTTGGAACCCGAAACCACAGGGTTCTCATCTGCCATCGAATCTGCATCAGAACAATCCTGAAAACTGCTGGGAAGGGAGAGGAAAGCCATCAACCACTGCTGGGTGTTGGTCTTTGTTCAGTTCCGCTGATCCTCCAAAGGCACCCGGCCCGGCATCGGACTTCCAATTCTCAAAACAAACCGCGGGCAGGGTGTTTTTTTTGCGGGGGGCATCCGGGGATGCATCATGTGATGCATCCTGCAGAAATAAAATAAAGCACGGGCAAAAAAACACAAACCAAAGCATCCTGCAACAAGATCACGACGGCAAACCCTTTGGCAGCTCGGTTTACCATCGTTTCGGAAGTCTTCAACATCGGTCCGATCTGATCATCTGTCCGATCTGGTCCCACCTTTCGGGTCTGAACATGCCGTCTGCCGTTCACTGATTTGAGGCGGTGCAGTTCGTCGTCTGCGTAAGTGAAAAGTTGGCGAAGTTGGATGGAACCCTGAAACAAACACTTGGAATGCAAATGCGCCCCCTCTCTCTCTCTATTTTGTGTACTTCACTTGGCCAGCCCATCAGCTCCTCCAATGTGGAAGCAGCTTCATCTCCTCTGGAAGGAGACTCCTGGAGATGAACCAGCTTTGTCGAGGTCTTCAACGGCCCGGCTGGATCCCACGGACGGAAACCGGCGGACGAGGGAAGCGACATCGGACGACCTGGGTGCAAGTCTCGACCCGGTGTGCCAAATGAGAACCAGTCAGCCTTGTATCCCAGTTGCAGTACCAATGTGACCAAATGGGATGGGACCAAACTGCTCTTCAGCTAGTCACCTCACATCCTAACGTCACCTGTATGCACTTCTTTGGTGTTCTTGCTCCCACCTTGCAGGGGCCTTCAAAAAGATTGGAGGGCCTGGATCTAAACCATCTGAAACCCCTCCCAAATTGTCCACACTCGAGCCATTTCGCCACAAGATCCACCCAAGCTCAATTCACCTGGTCTGGATCTCCCGCCGCCGTTCTCCGCATGTCTCCGCCGCACATATGGGTGTTAGGTTCGGGTGAAAGAATGACTTCTTTCGGTGCTGGTGTTGATATTGGTTGATGTCTAGATGTTTTTCATAATATGTAATAAGTCAGTTCATCCCCCCCAAAAAAAAAATGGGACCTGTCGAAGGAGGACATGACTCAGTGCACCTTCACCTCGCCCCCTCGATCAACCCGCCTCCACCTCCAAAATGCCAGCACCAGCAGGCTCGTCTTCACGAGCTGCCGGTGGCTTCCGGTTCGGCTCCTGAGGCTTGGAGAACAAATCTCTCACATGATGAGTCATCAATGGAGAAGATTTGGTCCACTCACACAGGAAAAAAAACTCGATCATTGAGAAGTTCCATCTCTCACATAGAAACACCAAACCACACAGCCCTTCACTCATTTCACTCCTCTCGATGGAGTTCCTCTCGTGCATGCGAGAAGGCGGCGGGAACCTGGCTTTGTAGATGCACCTGCTGTTTCTGCTTGAAGTGGCATCATTGATTTGACTCCCAAAAACATACAGACTTCTCTGCAGCGCTCACTTTCTCAGCGGAACTCCAGTGTCTC